TAATCCCAACTAATATTATAAATGCGAAAGTAACTCTGTCTGTCTGTCTGTCTGTTACGCTTTCCCGCTTAAACCTCGCAACCGATTTTAATGAAATTTGGCATAGAGATAGTTTGAGTCCCGGGAAAGAACATAGGATAGTTTTTATCCCGGTTTTTGAAACAGGGACGCGCGCGATAAAGTTTTTCTGTGACAGACAAAATTCCACGCGGGCGAAGCCGCGGGCGGAAAGCTAGTGTTAAAATATTATACAGTGGTACCGATCTGTACTACAGACACCGCTAAAGGTTTTAAACCTTTGTTTGTCACCTGGTATCCGCTTTGCAATGGAGGGAAGTCGAACAACTCCTCCTATGTTCTTCTGATTAATTTCGTTGCGGGTCCAATGACAGTTTAACTTTCCCCCGGGACAAACTTGACCTTCATTGGTTGGGTTTTTGTGGCGGTCAAGCTGTAGATCCTGGCTACACAGGAGTTGCAGTGGTGGGAACGAGAGGTGGGAATAGTCCCGTACAGACACCGCACATAACAATCACATTGGTTTATCTGTATTAATAGTAGCTGTACTATACTGACCAATATTTGCGAGGTGCAATAAATATAAAAAATAAAAACTTGAATCGAATTAAAAAAACAGAGTTTATAGAGCAGATTGATGTTATTAACTAAATACAAATTAATAAACTACATTTTGAATATCTTAGGTCAATCCTATGCCGTCGTAAACGTTTAGGCTGGGTTCCACAATCTTACTTTGACTATAACAAACGAGAAAAGTCTGTCAAACTCCATACAAAAAGCACCGGTTATTTTTATAGTTACCGTTAACCGTTAAAGTCATGTGGTGCAACTCAGCCTTATAATCTCGTTTAGTTATTCATAAGAGAGAGTTAAATCTTTTCTTTTCTACAATAAATAATAGAAGCAGTTATGTAACTTGATGAAGGTGGCATAATAAGATTGGGAGTAGTAAATATGTGACATGAATTATTATAATAGATCTAACTTTGTTTTAAACGTGACTTAAAATACACCCTAACACTCTTTTTCTATAGACACAAGAGCACAAGAATGTGGTTAAAAATATTGTAAGTTGATTAAATATCACACAAATTCATTGAAATAATATTTGAGGCAATATAATATTAAAACAATTATTAGGTACTAGCTTTCCGCCCGCGTGGAATTTTGTCTGTCACAGAAAATCTTTTCAAAAACCGGGATAAAAACTATCCTATGTCCTTTCCCGGGACTCAAACTATCTCTATGCCAAATTTCATCAAAATCTTTTCAGTGGTTTAGGCGTGAAAGCAAGACAGACAGAATTACTTTCGCATTTATAATATTAGTATAGATAGACTATGAAGTGATGAATGAAGAATACACGCATGACCAAATACAACAGAGAATAGAAGATGTATGAAACGTTAAGAGTCGAGTTGCACTTATACTGAAAGTTACATTCGCTAAAGGCAAGGCCAATGTAAAGGAGTGTTAGATTCTAATTGACTTTACATAGAATTCATTTTTTTTTTTTTTTTTTTTTTAATCTCCGGCTGNTATTGTTCACATATGCGGTTGATCATGTAGGTCAGAGGTGTCGGAACGGAATATGCATATCATTTCTCAATGTAATGTGATGCTACATGATACTTTGGAAGAAATTATCCCTCGGTAGGTGTAGGTAGGTACGTCTGGTTCCTCTATGATATCGACTTTCTTCTAACCATATTATAACTTAAAATAGGTCACGTTTAATTAGTACTATCTACTTATTGCAATATTCTTTTACATTTCCCACTAGGCGCTTGCTCGTACTTTTCTCCTCTAGACTATATTCTTTAAAAAACCTTCTTTAAAATAAATAATTTTCAATGTAAACTACGTCTTAGCAATGACATTTTCATTTAATTTTAAACAGCTAATCTTGATGTGTGATAATAATCGTAAGGTATTACAAAAAGTGAGTTTCACAAACAAAACAATCCCTTACCAAGTCGAACCTTAACTTCGAACTCCTATGTTCATCAAATTAATTTCGTTGCGGGTCTAATGACACTTTAACTTCTCCCTTAAAAAACTTTGCCTTCGCTAGTTGGTTTTTATTGGCGGTCAGTAGATCCTGGTTACACAGGAGTTTCAGCGGTAGGAACGAGAGGTGGCAAAGTCTCGTATACAAAACAAATCGTTTTTATTACATACTTTTTTATAACTTTTACGCGAACCAGTTCACTTGCCATTTTCAAACAATTAAGCGACAGTGAACTGCGTAAAGTGCGTAAGTGCTTGGCGCAGAAAATTAGCGTCATAACATGCGCATGATTCGCAACGAGGCCTCGACGTAAAACTAAAACCGTCTAACGCCGTTAAACGTGATAACTGTTTTTAAAGAAGTATGTGGCAGTGGTGTGGCATGACTAGGGTTTTTCCAATGGTATTTGGTACTATAACGTGGGGAAGTGTGCCGTCGTGTCACTGTCAAGTTTTTGATGATATGTGAAAGTAAATAAGGCCTCCCGAAAGTCTCATTGTAACAATATGGTGACCAGATTTTTTTGAGCATATCGACATTGTTGTCAGTAACTTTGATACGATACTTTTGTATTGTTTTTTTGGGTTTACCCTAGATAGGTCAGTTTCCTAAACTTTTTTTTACTGCAATGCTCTTGAAACTTTGTAATTTTTTTGGGACGCATATCTTAACAAAACATAGGTTAACATTACAAACTATAGGTTATAGCTATACATATAAAATTTAAAATAAAAAGTTAATACATTTATTATACTTTTTGAATGGGCACTAATGATAATGAGAATGTAGGTACGTCGCGAATTCGCGATTGCTTAAAGTTTGGGGACCCCTGCTTTATGTTAAGTAAAAAAAAAAAATATTTTCTTTATTATTCTTATAAAAACTTTATTCTTGGTTAGATGGTAAAATATTGCCAAATGTTTTTGCAAACNAGGTCCGACATTTCAAAGGGGTTAACTTTAAGGTATTGGCATATAGCCATGTGCTGTACTCTTTGCCGGGCAAAACGTGGACATTCTTTGAGTAGGTGAAGTATATCCTGGACAGCATTTGTGTCGCAATTGCACTTATCGGTCTCGACTATCTTGAACCGATGTAAGTATTGTCGGTGATAGCCGTGACCAGAATTCAGAGTAGAAAACTTATTTTCATTGTCATCATTTCAGCCATTGGACGCGCCGCGGCGCGTCCGGTGCTGAACATAGGCCTCCCCCAATAATTTTCATTCATATGATTTGAAATTAGTAATTCTTTCAAAAATTCATTGCCTAAATACAAGTTCTATGGGGATTATCAGACTTTACTTCATAATTCAAATAATTAAAATCAAAATTTATCTTTATTTGTATAGACTAATTAAATTAGTAATAACAAATCGTCAAATGCTCTTATGGAGCTTATCCATGTGTCATTATTTTTTTGCCCTACCAGCGCTTCGAGACAAACATTTGGCAAGTGCTGAGAAGAAGCATCGCAATAAACTCAGTTAGAGTACTTAGGACGGAGAAAGTGATTAAATAATTCATTCCTAAACGGTGCAACTGGATGTCTAAACAAAAACTGCACGCTGTTTTTTCATCTCCATCAATGGATCTTTGCAATGTGTTTTCAAACATCGTAAGTTGTTTATTCTTGGCACGCGACGAAGAAACTCTAAAGACAATGTCCTCCGATGTAAAACGGTTTACAGTCATCGAATAAGGCGAGTTATCGATTCAGTGTAATCGAGAATGATTGATGATATTATGTAAATCCATTCAATGATGTCCGATTGATGATTTATTCGTGGTAGAGTGATTTGTGACGTATGTTTCAGTAAAAGATTTTAGCTCTAGTTATGACAAGAATCCTCTCTCTATTTTTTCTGTTGATTTCATTTAATTAGAAAGTTCCTACACAATTTTGTCTTTTTAATTTTGAGTTTGTGTAAAACTAAGTACAAGAAGCTAAAAAGTTGAAACGTGATTAAACGTTTTAAGTAAATACAAAATACATATAAAATTATCACTCAGCTTAAGCTATGTGGATTGGTTAGGATGCAGAACTCATAGGCTTGTGTAAGACTTATTACTTTTATGCTACTTGTATCATAATACTTATAAGCTGTATGTTTTCCTAATAAAGAAAATATAATCTAAAATATAGAACTGTAGTTGCATTGTTATTAAAAATTCATAATTTAAAGGTTTTAAAAACTTAATATCATGTTATTTAATGTGATCTTAGCAGATCTATAGAAGATGTAAATCGTCATACACTTGGTTTCATTACGTTTGATTCAAAATCACACGCAGTGCGTTGCGCCGGCGCATCTTAATTATGCAAAACAAGTCAATTATTCGCGTAAACAACACTATTTGGATGTTTGGAAAACAACAGTAAGAATTTTTATCTTTGCGATAACAGTTGACTACAAAATTTAGCTCAGAATATGTATTTTACTTTTTTACATCTTTTGGGCTGTGTTTAGTATGGTGAATGAATGAATGAAGCTTTTTAATGAAAATATTTTCACTTTGAGATTCACATTTTGATTTGATTACTAAGTTAATTTATAAGATAAAATAGACTTAGGAAAAAACTTAACGATATTGTAATCGCTTGAAAATAGAATTAAGGAGCTTTCACTGCGTAAGCTGAGCTTTCGTAGAGTAGATAATTGAGGTTTTTTGTTTGTGGTACTTTAATGCAATAGATAGTTGATACATATAGATTTATTAAACAAATTAACATTTTTTTTTATTTAAAACTGAAATAATGTACCTATTTTATTTTATCTTTAGAATTATAATACGTTGTTAGTAAAAAAAATCTAAGCAAATCAAATTCCCCAAAAAATATTCAGATGAAAACACGTATAATTAATTTGTTAAAGAAATAAATGAAAAAAAAAAACGCTTTTAAAACGTGCCAAAAATATGTCTCGAACAAAATTTTGAAAAAAATAAAATAAAAAACAAAAACTTACCATCAACAATAAATAACACAGGCAGTCTCCGATCTGCATGGTGACGTCAGGCGAGCGGCGCGCGCGGCGGTCGGGCGGGCTGTGCGATGCGTCCGCGCATGCCGGCTGCTCGCGCCCGTGACAGAACTGTGTAGAGCGGATAATACTGCTTTCTCCTATTTTAGTTAAAGTGAGTTTAGGTGTTGAGGACTTTTTGTAAAGTTTGTTCGCTTTACCCTAACCCTTTCGGACCCGCGCTTAAACTAGAAATAAATTTGTAATTTTGAAGATGAATTTTAGGTAATTTGGGGCCGCAGATTACGAATCCGCTATAATTTTCCAGATTTTCCGCCGCCATCTTGGAAAATTCATATACCAACAATTGTATCAAACTGGGCCCTTCACTTCCCACGTACAATTGTGAGGGTCAAAATTGTAAGGGTTTTGGAAATTTTATCAATGGCATGAATTCCGAAAAACGTATTTATAACCAGTAAGGAATAAAGAGGTTTCATTTTTATACCAATATTTGCCATTTAATATTGATTTGTGGGCAAAACCATCTGTTCCATGAGCTCAAAAGTAAATATAGCACTCGAAATATTTCTATGAAGTTTTAATATCTCCTGGATCATGAACTGCATCTCCTGGAAGATGTTGACGATTGAAGGGCTTCGTCTGCTATGCCGCTTGCATACTCAGAGGTATGTATCGTCATGAATGTCTGAGCCTTCATCAGAAGAAGAGGAGTAGTTCATCTGAAGTAGCCGAAACTAGCTTTTGTCATTGTCATCGCTCTCATCCCCAGATGTATTGAGCATCTCTGCGATAGTAGCGTCGTTTAAAATCGGAAACATGGTGCGGAAACCATGAAAAATTAATAATTATGAGAAACTTAAAATACGCATAAGGTATTGTAGGGCCCACGTCGATACAATTGTGTCAGTAAAGTTCGTTAAGCCATTATGCCAAAGTCTTTGCTTACAATTAGTCACTGTTATCACAAAAAGATGCTATTTTTATCTATTTGTTTAATCAATAACTTGTAAATTACTACAATTATAAAATAAAACCATAGTAGGTACTTTCTTTCGCCAAGTCGGGGAGCGCAATCAGTCATGAACTGTACAGGTTGTAACCTGCTCACCAACTGCGCTTCGGACAAAATTTGCACGGGAGGTGAAAGAACGCATCCCGCACAATCGTACGATACTCAGCCCATCCACTTTTGATGTAAAACTAATGAGATAATCTCGATTTTGTAACCCGCACAATTGTATTGGAGCGGTCCGAAAGGGCTAAAAAAAACATCGAATATTTAGCCAATTTAGGTGCTGAGAAGGACTTTTTATTCAATTTGTTCACTTTACCCTAAAAAACATCGAATGTTTAGCCAATTTAGATGCTGAGAAGGACTTTTTATTCAATTTGTTCGCTTTACCTCAAAAAACATCGACAATTTAGTCACGGGACGTCCATAGCTGGACATAGGACCCTATGATTTTCTGTTTGTCCCTTCCTTTATACGCTAGATGATCTGTCCAACTTGTGGGTGGACGTCACACGCTGCGCTTGCCGATAAAGTATTCAATATGTTGGATTTACCTCTCAAAATCATCATCATCATCATTTCAGCCATAGCAAGCCATTGCTGAACAAACGCATTCCCTAATGATTCCCTGATTTGCCTTCCTGCAAACTTTATAAGGTCACCTGTCCAGTGAGTGCATGCTCTACACTGCGCTTGCCGGTACGTGGCCTCAATTCCAGAACCTTGCTGTCCCATCTGCCATCAGGTATCAGTTTGAGTGCCCATTGCCACTTCAGTTTGCTAATCCGTCTCTTTCCCACTAACTACCTGCAAGTCCGTTGTCCGTCCTGCAAACCTTTGTTTGTCACCTGTCATCCGCTTTGCAATGAAGGGAAGTCGAACCTTAATTTCGAACTCCTCCTATGTTCTTCTGATTAATATCGTTGCGGGTCCAATCACAGTTTAACTTTCCCCCGGGAAAAACTTGACTTTCATTGTTTGGGTTTTTTGGCGGTCAAGCTGTAGATCCTGGCTACACAGAAGTTGCAGCGGTGGGAACGAGAGGTGGGAATAGTCCCGTTACCGGCAACTCCGGTATACGTCTTGTCATTTATCCGGTTTTGAAAGGCAGATTCGCTCTACCTATTCTTATAGGACGTGAACATTTTATTATGTTCTTATACCTACCATTATGTTAGTTATTCTTGGTAACACAACGCCAAGTCATTCTCCTCGTTTTTAAAATTTTCTTCTGAACTGGATTTTGTATTTTGCTACGTCACATTCATGTTGGTCACTTGAGCTTGTTTTTGTTTGAACAACTTATAACTTAACTGTTTTCTCACTTATTTTCAAAATGAAATAATCATGTTTAAGTATTAAATATTTTGTAGTATTATTCATTAATCATTATTATTTGACTTTAGAGCGAATTATACCAGCTGGGTTTATTTAAAACATTCTTATTAGCTTTTCCAGAGTAATGTTTTGGTGGTTTTGGTGGTATTCACATAAGAATTACTTTTATTTGGGTGTATTAACAGCTCTATATCGTTCGGCTACCCCGCCTGCGCAGCCGTCAGCCACTCTCACATCTTTGTTTATTTATTTATTCCTATAAACAATAGCTTTGCACTAATCTATTGCATTGTAACTATTCTCAATGGACACCTACGATTGATTGACCTACTTTTTAAATAACTAACATTTTTTATGATATATTAGCTCATTAAATTTTACATGAATTATTTATTGGCTTTATTATTTACGTTCACTTGGAACGTGCAACTAAGAAAATAGATTGTTAATTTAACATTTTCCTCCAGTGTTTATTATTATTTCAATTGATTTGGCAAATGGCAAATTGAAATTATTTTTACAAAAAATTACACTTGGGCTTATTAATAATATTATTTAATTTATGACATAGAATTCGGGAAAATTTACATATTTCGGTAGGTTGATTTTTGACAACTAATAGATTAAAAATATAATAATAATGTCGTGTACAAAAATATACTTGAATCAAAAGGTCTTGAGTTCAATCTCTGGCTTGCACAAAATGCTAGTTATTCATCATCATCATTTCAGCCACAGGACGTCCACTGCTGAACATAGGCCTCCCCCAATGCTTTCCATGTTGATCGATTGGTAGCGGCCTGCGTCCAGCGCTTCCCTGCTACCTTTACGATGTCGTCGGTCCACCTTGTAGGTGGACGTCCCACGCTGCGTTTTCCGGTACGCGGCCTCCATTCCAGAACCTTTCTGCCCCATCGGCCGTCAGTTCTGCGTACTATGTGCCCTGCCCATTGCCACTACAGCTTGCTAATACGTCGGGCTATGACAGCGACTTTGGTTCGTTTACGGATCTCCTCATTTCTGATTCGATCTCGCAAAGAAACACCATCATTATCGATACTAAATACTTATTAATTTTTATACTGTCTGATAGAAAATTAAGTAAACACAAACCAAATTAAAATAATTTAAGCAGAGTTGCTGTAGCCAGTCTCTGTTTCTGTCAAATGTTAAACAATTTACCAAACGACAGGAAAGGAAGAAAAAATAACTCAACTATTAAAATGTAGTTTGTAGCATCAAGTTTTAACAAAAGCTTAGTTAGATATTGGTAGAGTAACGCCATCTATTCATAAGAGTAGAAATTTCAATGTTAGATCAACAACTGACAATGCAACCTGCTTGATTCATGCTAGCTGTTAAATGTTTCGATAATCTTACGTTAGATGGTGCTACTACGTTTATTAGATTCTACCCAAATTATTATTATTTAGGTACTGTGAAACTTTGAAATTAATGCCTGAAAATGACTGAATTGCTGGCATTATTTAGCTTTTAGTTTTTCTCGTAAATATTTTATTTAAACAAGGTAGAGCTTTGTTCATTCATTTTGTTGATTTATTATATTAAAATAATAGAGGGATAGAGTTGATTCAAAATGCTTTATTCAGTGGCATGAAAAATTTATTTGATTTTCTTTTAATTACATTATTATGCTATGCTAAAATAAATACAGAAATTGTTCGGATATCTTCATCTTATTTATATGTTCATTTAAATAATAGTGGGTAATTAATAATAATACATAAAAGCGTCTAACCTATTTATTTATTTACAATCCAATGAATAATTTACTGTTAAAAATAACGATAAGTGACTTATTTGTTTTATGTCTTACAAGACCAGATTAAATAAAGATTGCAAGGATCAATGTTAATATTTATAGATGCATATGACAGTAGAAATTTTAAGATATTCACATAAAAATTGTGTCACTCGATTATCGTGAAAACTTAAAAACTTACATGTGTTAACTATAATTCGGCATTGATAAAATGAATGCTCTCCTTAAACGATACTTGAATAAATCACACAAGTTACATTAAAACTTGAAAATGTCTAAATTGGAAGATAAAATTCGTTTGATGACTCGATACAATACAAAACCTAAGTGTCGCGGGACCCGTATCGACAAAAGTTTTTATAAGGAATATTCATTAAGAAGACGGAAATTTAATTTCTTGTTACCTTACTTATGACACCAATTTATTCTTCATTTTTAACACAAATATTATATTTTCATTTTTCCGTAGGTATTAAAGTTTTTTTCAGTCAGTAAAATATTATTTTACAAAGTAGGTATTGCATTAAATAACAACTGTCTACAGTATTTTTGCGCACGGGTTATGCATAGCTTATTTTTATTGCTTTATAACCTAGAAACAAGAATAACAACAAAAAATTGTTCTGAATTTGCTTTTATGTGTAAAAAATAGAAAAATTCATATCAATGAATGTATGAAACATGAACATAGAGATGATGTAATTTGTTGCTAAATATTATTTTTTCTTTCTTTCTTTCATTATTTCTTATTATTAAAACATAACAAACATCCATTTAAGATTCATTCTCACAAGAGAAAAATTAAAATAGAGTCCAAATATTTATTAAAAATGAAAAGTTCTAATTTCCTGTTATGTTCCATAGAAGATTATTTTCATAAAAATCTAACCCTATTATGCTTTTAGTATACTGGCCTTGGTAACGTCGTTTCTCAAATCCCACTATATTTTGATGAAAGCGTGCCCCTTGTTCTTGCGAATAAGCCCCCATAATTATTTATAAATATATCCCAATGAGAATGTGACGTGCATCTTGAGAGACATTCTACTATGAAGATGGAAAATTCAAATCGCTATAACTTCTTAAAAAGCAAATATTTTCGATTTGTAATCGCACTTTTTTATATACATTTGCTTATATAATCAGAATATAATAAGTAAAATCCATGCGCAAAAAAAAAATATTTTTTTGTTGACCGGTGTAATGTTTGGATAACAAATTCCTCTTTAAAATTTTAGCAAAGTCCAAAGATAGAGCACAGCAAAGTTTTTATAATTAACAACGTAATGAGTATTACGTTTAATTCAAACAGATCTTTTCGCCTGAAACACAGGTTTTTAACCTACAAAAGACTTTTATTATTATTAGGCTACAAAAGACTATGAACTATAATATGTAAACTCTAGCATAATAAGTTCTTATAATGCTCTTATTTTAATGAATAAATTATTTATTTAAACAAATAGTTTTTATTTATTTTTAGGATTCCGCACCCAAAGGGTGATCACGGGACCCTTTTACTAAGACTTCGCTGTCTGTCTATCACCAGGCTGTATCTCATGAGCCGTGAAAGCTAGAAAGTTTGACCGGTTCAATTTTTCTTTCAGGGTGTTTTTTCTTGAAAATTTAGAATAGAATACAATAGAATAGAATACCTTTATTCAGCATTAACATTTATGTGCATACATGTACAGAAGTTAAATTACTGAGCCATGCTGAAAAGGCGCCCGCTCAGCGAAAATCGTGACATGACACAAGTCCTCAAGTCACGAAGCTGGTTTTCAGCGGGTACCACAACATGGGGGTTATTATTACGCCAAATAAGCGCCCTTTTGACAGTGACGGTTTTTATATTTTATTTAGCAGTGTCTGTGTCACTGCTTCCACTAAATTCTTAGTTTGTAAATTGTTAATGATTCACTGGTGTCATAAATAACGTAACGACATTATATACTATAACTTATATCTAATCGATGCCGGAAGATACATAACATCCCCACGCCTTGCCAACGGCGGTCACTGCAGCAATGAAATCGTAACGTTACTATACAGGTTGGTGCGTCAGTGGGGAATCGAAACTTCAGGAGATTATAGCATAATAAATTAAATTTCGCTTATGTAAATGTAAGATAAACTTCGCTGTATGTTACTTGAAACTAATCCAAAAATATTAAAGTCTCTTTCTTTACTCTTTTCTCTTTTAATCAGTTTTGATTTAGATTATGGTGCTAAAAGATGGTACCTAAGGAAATAAAAATGTTGATGTATTAATTAATTAAAGGCATTAATGTTGTCCCTTTAGTTGTTTGTTTTATTGAAAGCAGCCCAGAAAATTATGATCTCAAAATTAAGTAGGTAAAATTTTGGTAACATTAAGTTATATTGTCAGTAAAATCTCCAAAAGTTTCATCCACCACTGACGGGTCACCCTGTATAATCAATAATGGAAGGCTAGAAGTTGAAGTGAAGGCACGCAAAGTGTATTTACATTGGTGCTGCATGATAAACGTTGGCTTGGCTGTGCAGGACTTCTTAAGGCGATCCCAATAATGCAGTAATAAAGAGTGAAAAAGCAAAATATAAAAAAAAAACAAACAAAAAACAAGAGTAAAGATGTCAGAACTGAAAAAAAAAAATGAACTGAAAGAAACAAAAGACAGGGTATTCAACAAAAAAAACTAAACAATATTGATTTGATCAATTATAAAACAAAATGAAAACTGATACTTAGAGACTTTCATGAAATAAAAAAGAAAAAATATGTGAATGCATTATAAAATGGGAGCGTCTATATTGTGTATATTTTTACTAAATTATCTTTAACCTATGTGACATGCTTACTCCGATATGTTTTGTTCCATTTAGATAATTATTATTGTTTGTTTTGGTAAAATGAAGCTAAGCGAAGGAAACCGTTTTCAATTTAATGTTTTGTTCCTTGAGTTATTTTTGAAATCTTTTGGCAGTGTAATACTTTTTTCCAATATCAATACAAACTATGTGTCGCTTTGCCTCATTTTTTTACTATGAAGTTTAAAAAAGCGAACACTCATTAAGCTTAAACCTCAACACAAGCCAAAGCTTCAAAACTATCAAATAATAAATATTTATTTACAAATACTAATACTATTGTGTGTAACATTGCATCGCGTGATAAAATTAACCATGATTAACTACAAATCGACTATCAATTTAATATATTTGGATAGAATTTTTCGATTATTATAATTTACAAATCGACATTATCTACAATGGAGATAGTGGAAAGACCCTGTTTTAACAAGACCAATATATCCTATGAAGGTCCGTTGAGCTTAACTACAAACCACTGAGCGAGGTATCAATTAGGATTTTAGAAAATAAATCTGGTAACAAGTACTTTTGAATGCTTAGATTCAACAAGTATAAAAGAAATAAACGATATGTATAAAGATAAAAAAATATAAAAATTAAAAATCACTGCTAAAATCACGAGTCTCAACTCTCGTGGACCAGAAACTTAGCATACTCGATTGCACGAAAGAAAAAAGCTAAAGCTTTCATTGGGTTGCCTCAGCGGTGTGGTAGTGCGAGGGGGGGTGGTAGCGCCAAACCTGTGGTGGGGAGTACTCCACGGGGACTTCTTGCGCGGCCCCGCCGGCGCCCCACATGAGCACCGTCTGCCGGGGCATCTCGGCCTGGGGTTGCTGCATCCGCTCCTGTTCTGTAGACCCGCTCGACCCACCCGGACTGGGCCCTGGGACCACACTGGGTGACCTCCTCTCCTGCCCCGTCACAGGACTCATATACCTCCCGCTGCTGTCCACGTACGCATACTCTCTTGATGGCGGCCTGTGATACGTCGGTGCTACTTCGTAACCAGGCGGCGGCGCCGGCTCTAGGAAGCCATTAGGCGCGTACGGGGTATAATGGTAAGACAGAGGCTTGTATTGGTGGAAGAGGTTGTCCGCTGTTAGGAACCGGTCGTCTAACGGCGGCGGGGCGTAATGCAATGCGGGAGCTGGCGGGTATTCCCCGTACGGCGCTGTGTACGCCCCGTTTAGGTTCGTATAAGCCGCTGCGACTGCATCAGCTGCTAGGTAGTCGACTGGGGGAGGCGCTGGTGTGGTTGGAACTCGTCTTTTATTCCTACACGTCGATAGGAAGTCCCTCAGCTGTGTTTTATATCGCCTGGCTGCTCTGGGTGGCGTGGTCACACTGGTCTCACAGCCTGAGAGCTGTTCAGTCTCGGAGAAGTATAGGCTGGTGAGCCCCGTATCTAGGTAACTGACTTTGAAGTCCATCGTTCTTTTGCCAAGCAAATCTCTGCCTTCTTCCTCCCTGGAAACAAACAAAGTTTCTATTTTAGCTCCATGGTATACCAATATCTTTCCTGATCCTAAAAATATATGTATTATAGCCAGATCTGGCGTTACTCCTCACGCGCTGGGGTTGAGGAGGTTTTTGGTAATCAAGAGAAGATTATGTCCTCTGTATAGTAGTAGAAAGCAATGGCGCTGATGATGATGATGGTTACTTACATCAGCGGCCGATGCGTGCTGATGACGAAGTCCGGCTTGGAGTTCTTGTAGACGAGCCGCGACGAGGTCTGCAGCCACTGCCACTGCCCGTCCTTCGTCTGGAAGCGATACGCGATCATCCCGGAAGCACCTGTTTTTAATACTGGAACAGAAAAGGGGACGAATTATGTTAAAAGCTCATGGAATGCAAAATAAGAATCAGTTGAATATAGAAATCAGATAAAAATAGAAACATCTGAACGCCAAAGAAGTAATCATTATAGAGTTCAGCACTCAGTAATTCTGTCACGCAAACAGTAGTTCTTTCACACATTAGTCAGGCATTTAGTAGCATAATGGAGTTTTCTCAAAAAGTGGACTTCTCACAACGGGGATTTCTCATAATGTTCGCAAAACGGGGATTTCTCAAAATGGGGAGTTAGATAAATGGAACTGTCTATAATAGCGTAAGCAGAATCTGAATTTAATAAATTACTTACATTCTTGGTGAGCACTGGCCACATAGGCCAAGTCATCGTAATGAACTAGATCGTAGCCACCCATATTCGCCAATTCAGCGTCTGTATATCCTAATAGCATTTTACCCCTGAAAAGAAAGAAAATATAACATTAAAAACACTTAATATCAAAATAGCTTATTTAAAATGATTGCTTGATTTTGATTTTTTTCTGACTCACTACATTGATCCTGGTAAAACCATGTCTTTACTTAGGCCCGGTTTCTGAATTGGGGTATTCCAGCTTGAACGTGCTCATCTTTTACTTATGAAAAATCCATAATTAGAAGATGCTCAAACTAGAACATGCTCAAGGCAAAAACCTCAATTGTGAAACCGAGCCTATGTTTGAACATGTACTTAGATGAAACAGGATTCATGGTACAATTTGAAATGCATTTAGTTCATTCCAATAAACTGGTCCAATTGTAGGCTTAACAGTCCGCCATTAGGTTATTTGACTTCTAATAAATGGATTAGTCACACCACGCTCGGGTTAGCGCCCATGATTACCGATTATACACGGATTGAAATAAGCTTTTGCGGTTCTATTGTTGTGCTTTTGGCGAAAATATATTGCCTATTTATATTTTGATATCAGTATAAAGTTCAATGCGATATAGGTAATTACTTTTCAAAATATCCGATGATGAGATAAAGCTCTTGGATTAAGGATTTTCAAGGCATCATGGTTTGTGAAAAATACATTGATGTTTAAAAATCAAGGATCGTTAGTAGATCTTCAGTCTAATGTAGGTAATAGTGTCAATTTATTTTTAGAGAAAATTAACAAAGCCGTAAGAAATGCAGTAAAAAGATCCTACCCTATTACTCAGTAGTGCGTAACTGTGATCTACATTCAATCAGATATCCAGTTTTAGTTCTTCTATCATATTTTCTTAAGTGTTTTGCTGATAATTATTAATAGTACTATAATTCCTAGTTCTTAAAAGTTAGTAAGGTACGTAACCTATATTTTCTGGTGGTGGTTCATCAACATTTTCAAATCATTTGATTATTTATAGTCATCATCATCTTCATCATTGAATCTCAGCCATAGGGCGTCCACTGATGAACATAGGCCTCAATGATTTCCACAATGGCCGGTTGGTGGCGGCCTGCATAATTTAGGCGGTTATCACAGGGCAGATTTAATCATTGTATGCAAGTACCTCAGTTTGTATAGAAAACACGCGCGGCACTTCACACTGACAACGCGTCCGCGCGCGTGATTTTTTATATGAAAATCACGCGCTGCGCGGCGGAGCGCGGCGCAGTGTGATAACCGCCTTATAGTACTTAACTAATTACATAATATTAAATAGTATGTCATCATACTCACCTTTGATCCATAGAGACTAGAGACAGATCAAGCTTGTGCTTGCTCTTGAACATGACTTCCTTCTGAGGGATCTCCAGCAGGCTGGGAGGGCCGAAGGGCGCGCATATTGCGAAGAGGGCCAGTGGAGGCTCTTCCGTTTTCTTGTTTTGCCCGTGGAGGACTTTGATGCGGCCCCGTATGTCTAACCTCTGGAATTAATTGAATATTTAATTAGTTAAGGTGTAAAAATAATGAGGATTAAACTTAAAAATTGGTAAATCAGTAGTTTCTGAGCTGCCTGATTTTGAGAAAAGCAGCGTTACTAAAGTGGATTTCGACGGTAAATTGTTCTTTCTTGCGGGCATTCTCCTTACAATAGTATATTTCTTAAAGGGGATTACAATAGGGTCTTGTTACTTGCGCTATTTTTCTCAGTATTAACAAAACTATTGTCCCTAAGTAGTGGTAGAGAAAGCTATGCGTAGAACTTGTGAAAACACCCTGAAAAGAAACAAAAGCACATAAACAAAAGCTCATACTAACCAAAAAGCCCGAGGTGTTGTCCAGTAAGCACCGGAAGCGCACGGTAAAGCTCCTCTCGAGTAGATGCGTCCTGTCTGGCCTGAGCGCGTCCTGTAGCGTCAGGCTGCTCACTTCCGGCGGAAGGAACGAGTTCCAAAGCAGCTGCCTCTGGAGCTCTTCCCGGTCTTCTGAGTGGACCAGCTCGTATACTGATTGGTGGACTATGTCCGACTGTAAAAAGAAAATTATTCATGGTCATATTTTGGCTAAAATCTGCAAAATGGATGAAGTAAATGATTTTTTTTATCTACAATACCTGCAGAACATCTGTTAATATTTTAAAAGTAATGACTCAATATTGTTTATGTTTAGGTCACAAATAAATGTAAAATTATAGTGGCCATGGACAATATCCGGACAAATCAGACAAGTCTGACAATAAGCTGAAAATAACGAAGCATCTTTCAAATTTATTCTCAAAGAAAATGTATCAGTTTCTGCATTAACTTAAATCTTCCATCAACTTCAAAGACTGCCTCATTACTGTAAGAAACTATCACAATGACCAGTTAATCAGACCACAAAGAGAATCATTTATCAGCGTGAAAAGAGCAAGTCATAATACCGACCATAAATCAGTACGCATCGATAACCCTAAAAATCGATTCAAATGCCATCATTAAAACATCATCTGTAACGAAGATGGACAAGTTAATTTTGCTACGGCAAACGACCAACAATATCCATTAACACGTCATATTAAAGTGCATATTGCAACGCAAACTATACCCGTTCGGTTCTAACACGTCAGGTTATAAAGAACCGTGTAAACACTGTGGACAACGCGCCAACAATACATGATGCATGCACAAAACTAATTGATAATCAATGGGGTCCCGCGGGGTAGTAACTTGGGCCCCCTATTCTAAAACGTTGCCATGTAAATGAATCATGAGTATACAGAAATATATGGCAAAGGTGGTTATGGAATAGGGGCCGTAGGAACACAGCTATGTGAGTTGGAACATATTGCGATGGCATTAAACGTCAGAGGATGATTTGTGAGGTAATTGGTTTTTGTTCTCTATTTGGGAGGGTACGGTTGCTACGATACACGCCGATGTTTTGTTGATATGCTATTGTTTTGGCAAACGTTTTTATCCTCGGTGTTTTGTGGAGTTGATAAATGATGATTGCGTTCCGTGTTGTATTATTTTGTTCGATTCGAAACAGAATATTACTTTAATATAGACGTTTGCGTATTGATAGAATTTGCAGTGATTGTTTATTGTTGGAGGTTTTGATTTCGTATCATTTTCTATGATTTTGATCAAAAACCTTAACTACGTAATCACTTTGTGTAGCAAAACAGTAAATCACAAATTACAATTAAAAACTTTATCAATATAAATTGTAATCACAGGTGGTTCCCCATTTTATTCTTTGGGCCCATAAATTCAAAAGCTCCTCACGGTCATTACCCAGATTTGGGTAAATGCATTCGTAATTTCCACCGCACCCCAAAATTACTGGTCCATTTGGTAACCCCAAGCAAAACAGTGGTGCCACCTGGTGTTGAAGCCAATCTGCGTACGATTCAATCGACCCCGCTAATGGTTGGGGCTGACGCGCTTTGCCTTACGGTGATTAATTATACCAGTTGTAAGAAATAAAAGGCTATAAAGATGCTAAACTTCTTATCGTTTGTCCATAATGTCTTGGTTGATAACAGTATTGTAAATCTAAAGGTGGATAAAATGTTTTTTAGATATTAAAATATCAAAGGTTTGTTAGGAGTGATCATTAAGCGATTTCAACATAATAATGGTCAGAAGCTTTCGTGCATATTCGAATATTTCATCAGCCATGATCGTCTGTAACTCTGTCCGTGAATACTTGTTAATTTTATTTATATTAGGTATTATATTAGTTAAACGTAGAGTTAACATCTTAGAGAATTTTATTTTTTATTTTCATACCTTATTTCATATATCGAGAAAGAAACGTGCTTTAATACGCACTTACGAGTAAATGTACAAAAACACCGAAACAACGCAAATTACTAACAAAACAACAAAGGCAAGTCCTGTCAAAGCCAACATAGAAAACTTTTGTTTTTCTTGGCCAATTTTAAAATCGCTCAGTCCCTTCAAAGTTGGCCCCATGCTGTCGGTGTGTCGATCACCCCATGCCACGTGCCCGACGTCGGAAGTACCGAGTGCCTGGCTCGATTTAATGATCCCAAATCGATTTGTTTTAATCGCAACCCACCCCCCGATTGTTGCTATAGTTGAGCTCAGATGAAGCAGAAATAGCTGTTCAAAAGTGTAGGTTTTATGCCTACATTTTTTTCTTTTTGTCCCTTTTCTTAGAAGTCTGAATCCCTCTTAAATCCTTCATGATTGGAAACCAATAAAATAAAATGTTATAGACTATTTGAAAATACGATAGCAATAATCTCAAAAAACTTATGTATCGAGTATTTATTTGGCCACACATATTTTGTTTTACTAGTTAGAAAAACAATATTTTTAAATGTCTTCTTTTAATTGCCTCTAACAATATTTGCACCAGCTGCACGAAAATAACCGATTTGTACTTTCTAATTGTTACAAGTCTAAACAATTTTAGTTAGCTCTAGTAAAAGTATATTTTTNAAAGTATTCTTAAAATATTTTAATAGGCAATAAAGTTTTGAAAGGTCATAGGTACATTGGCCTCTGTACAAGCTTAATCTACATTAAGTTGCTCAGGTAACCGAATTACTCGCTCGTTCTGGCCATGAACGAAACAAAAGCGATGGGGGGTTGAAATAAAGTTTATATATGATCGCAACTGAAAGTTTTATGGGCTGGGGTACGATTTGGGCCGAATTCGGCCCTTTTTACTTCTGATAGCGATATTTCACGGGGACTTTATTAACAGTAATGCGGTGCGCTTATTAACGAGCATTTTAGTGTTAGATTAGTTTTGTGTGGCGCTTTATAAAGATTAAAAGGGTAAGTAGGAAAGTAAGGTTTATGTAATGCTCATTATGAAGGTAGATTTAGCTTAAACATAGAGTTCCTGGTTATGTGAAAATGCCTCTCTTGATAGGAAAGCTCTAGAAAATAAAGAGGTTAGGCTGTCTTGGCTAGAATCATAGTTAAGTAGGTAGGTACGTCTCGTATAAAATATGCTAATATTCTTATGCAAACTTTTTTTTTATGTGACAGGAGGCAAATTATTTTTATTTATTGTGAGACGAAAATTTTTAAATAAAATAATCGTTTTAAATTGATTATTTCATTTTAGCCAAGAAGCTGTAGGTACACTGTAAGGCTTTGATAAAAAAAATCTATTAATTTCAAAATGAATAGCAGAAACTCAATATTTGGCTTCTTGAATCGGTCTATAACAATTTCCGTAAAATAACCAAATATTTCAACCAAAAAATATTTTTTGGGCGCATAAATTACAAAATTTGCTTATATTTCCTGTCTTTGTCACATCAAATAATCCAGCCACTCCATAGGTCTAATCCCTGTCCTCCTTTGTTACGTTCGCTGGACGAGTTTGATAAAACGCCCGCCGATAAGAGCTTTAATACAGGTAAAGCCTTTTTGCGTTCAGTTATCGTGATAATTAATATTTTCATACAGTTACTGAGTGAGGGTAAACGAGAAACGTAGAAGCTAATATTACCCCTTATAGTTAGAAGAACAACAAAGAACTTAATGAAATAGTCATGGGTAAAGACAGCTTACATAATTACTTATTTTTGTTCAGTAAGATTTTTCAACGTCCATAAAAGTTGGGAAATATACCAAAGAAAAACCAGCTACCACGACGTAGCTTTATCTTTCCAAGTATTAGCACGTAGACGTAGTTCTCTTATGAAACTTTCTGCTAGTAATTTATTAATACATAGATTTATAAAGAAAGCTCTGTACAGGGTATTTTTACCTTTATAGTGAGTACGGCAAGTAATGAATGAAAAGTTGACACAATATTTCATTAGCTGTCAGGTTGTATGCGTGGTAAGATGAGGCGTTAATGTTAACAAAAGTAAAACTCGGCAACTTTCTATGCTTTTGTCGTTTGCTCGACAGGGGTAAATTAAAATTCGTAGGTTGCTTATCTAATTTTTTTTCTGATTAATAACTCCCTTTTGCCATTTATTCCCAAATAGGGTTATAATTTTGAAATTAATCGTCATTTAACGGCGTCGTTTTGTCGTAAACGTAATTTAATAATGCCTTGACGGGTAGGTTCGCTCTGTTTTATAATGGTTCTAATGTTATTAAGTTATTCTGAAAATTTTATTTTCAACATTAATACGTTCATTATACTTTATACGTGATACTTGTATACAATTCATAGTAATGCTGCTACACTAATTTGATCGCTTTCTTATACGGACTTATAAATGGCCTTTTTACAATTCCTGGACAATAATCCAGCAAGCTCAAGATTCTGTTCTCTGTGTTTGACTAAAATATCGTTACTTAGTTCGGGTTGAGGTTAGTCTCAGCAAAGAATTTGCCAATTCACTATAAAATAATCTTCTTTTTTTAACCACAACGAGGAAGCTGGCAGTGTCAGCCCAAAACTCCGCTACAAGGGTGGCGTTGTATAATAAAATATTGTTGATAAATCTAATCTTCTTCAAGTCCTGACTTAAAAGAAGAAACATCCTAGGTAAGTAAACTTTGATTGACCTTGATAAAATTACATTTGTGACAATAGTTTAGTGAAGAGCGTAACAACCTTTGCGTATAAAGTTTAGTGGTTCATACGTATATTACTGACCTGATGGAAGCCTAAGTAACTCTCGATGCTGTGCGTCGCGAAGAACACCTCTCCTTCGCACGTTAAGATCATCAGGAACCCGTTGAGTGCCTGAAATTACACAAATCATCATTAGTACATCAATATCAAATAGTATAATCACAATGAGCCAATACCAGTCAATTGCGATATTTTGAATGACTGTTGAGACGCTTTTTCTTTCTAGAGTTTGTATAGAAGTATCCACGGCTTTAATCTGTTAGGAGGGAGTTGTAGGTAGATGCCTCTGTTTATAAAAAAAACATCTACCTATGTTTACTGCGCCGTTTTCTGACACTCAAGCTTATTTTACTGTAAAAACTTTCAAAATTGATATCATATTTTAAGTACTTAGCTTTGACGTATTTACCGTTGAATATTATGAGGATTAAAAATTCTTTCAACCTAGCCTAGCCTAGAAAATACTAGTGTTTACACTAATATTTACGCCCAGTGGAATTCTACACTGAGTAATTGGAAAAGGCTTTCTGGTCATTACGTGAATCGCCAGTTTTTTAAACCTAGTTTTGACTAAAAAATTACACAGTAGCTTCAAGGGCTAAACGTATTCCACGTTTCCACCCAAAGATAAAGCTTATACTTATTAAACACCCTAAAAATAGATAATTTAAGCATAAAACGATAATACCTACTAGTATTTTGAAGCCTAAAAATGTCTTTATCATTTATACCAGCCATGGTGGCGCTTAATACAAAGCACTTAAAACTACAATTCCATGAAACGTATTATTAGTAGTTCGATGGAAACGCACCCACGCTAAGTTGAAAACGTAAATATGAAATACGGTTTCAAAATGGCAGATATTTATAGCTGTGTGTTTCCATTGATATATTATCAGGTACACAATTTACGTATTTATTACCGCCATGGACAGTTTATTTTTGCACATAACCAGTTTTAATGAGGCTTTTATAAAATGATTACTGTTGCCTACATTTTATTTGTCACTTGATATCTTTATGCTTGTATAAGTTGAAAAGATAGCCTACGTACGAGTATGTTATGCGAAATAATAATAGAAACTAAAAAGTTTGACTGTTAAAAAATAATTAAATTATTATTAAAAGCCACGTTTTGACCAAACTTTTATCCGAGAATAACTCCTGGTATAACTGGCACATTGAAAGTTTCAGTATGCGAAATATGTCAAAATGTCGAATAACTGACGATTTATTCTGAGATTAATATGTACTCCTGTTTGGTCGACTCCACCATAAGTAGAAAATGAGCACGCTAAAGTTAAAAATATCAGTTCAGAAAATGGGGGTAAATCAACTTGATTGCCCAAAAATAGAAATGATTACGAGCTACAAAAGTTAATAAACTATCCATTTCTTTGTACTAATGTTAGACGCCAACAATAATAGTGTATAATGGCAGTTCATGAACTCTGACATCAGGGTGTCACCATGGTGTTTGACACTGAAGTCCGTATTACCTGCACACACTATGAGGTGTCACAGTGCGCGTGGACGCACAGAATCACACACGAACCAATCACAGAGCTCTATTCCAACGCTGTGCGTTCTTTTTGCTGCTTCACTTAAGCAAGCATCGTTTGTGAATACGGGCGTCAGTGATTACATCCCACACGATAGAAGAAAATCAGCGATTTTAAAGCCATACAAAGGTTACATTTAAACTATTTCAGACTTCCACGTCTTTTTCTCTTCGTAAGCCTTAACACCACCTTTACACCTTTTTAATACCATAGAAGAATATACTTTACTAGCGGCAACCCGCGACTTCGTCCGCGTGGATCCAATTTTACCCCCTTAGGGGTGGAGTTTCGTAAAATCCTTTCTTAGCGGATGCCTACGTCATAACATGTACCTGCTTGCTAAATTTCAGCTCGATCCGTCCAGTGGTTTAGACTGTGCGTTGATAGATCACTTTGTCAGTCAGTCAGTCACCTTTGAGTTATTATATTTAGATTATTCTTACCTGAAGGAACATTTCCCCGTCGGGCATGGCGTGGTCGTACGGCGAGTGCTCCCTCCGATGCCCGTGGATATCCTCCTTGTCTTTGTGCATGACCACTGCAACAAAAAGAAGCTATTGTAAATCTATGGTTCCATAATAAACTACGTCGGTATTAACAAACATTACTATGAGGTCTCACAGTGCGCGTGGACGCATAGGGTGACATAAAAAACTCTTAAAACTCATAAAACTAATTTATTTCTGCAAATAGGCTTCAAAAAAGCACTTTTACACGTCCCAGTATTAACCCTACCACTGCTTCAGGACAATAAACGGGCCAGTGCTGAGAAGAAGCAGCGCAAGAAACTCAGTCACTATTGTCAGCCTCTTTAGACACACAAACAAATCACAGAGCTCTATTCATTCTGTGCGTTCGATTTGCTGCTTCACTTAAGCAAGCATCGTGTGTGAATACGGTCGTTAATATCAATGTTAGAACTCGGTCGAGTTAACTGCGCAACTGGCAGCCGTGACGTCACAACGCTCTGGTACGGACGGGGCGAACGAGGGGAGGTGTTCGGGTGAGTGCGATGGAGAATCGCATTCCAGCGATTCAGCTCGATCAGTTTATACAATGCTAACCCATCATTTGCAATGGAGGGAAGTCGAACCTTAATTTCGAACTCCTCCTATGTTCTTCTGATTAATTTCGTTGCGGGTCCAATGACAGTTTAACTTTCCCCCGGGACAAACTTGACCTTCATTGGTTGGGTTTTTGTGGCGGTCAAGCTGTACTGTAGATCCTGGCTACACAGGAGTTGCAGTGGTGGGAACGAGAGGTGGGAATAGTCCCGTAACCCATCATGGGGGGTTACTAAAAAACAAGGGTTTTCTCTCCACTGCAGAAAGAAAAAGTTTTTCTAATTTATCAGAGGCAAATATGGAGGAAAATTTTTCAACACTTGCCAAGTGCATTTGCGTCAGGAAAATAGTGTTTTTCTAAGTTCAGCTACATTGTTTAACCAATTAGGTGGCAGTAAAATTTAAAACAGTGTTCGTATTAACTATTTGAAGTAAGTTCAGACAATTTGCATGCAATCACTCTTTTAATATTTTCATAGTGCGTATGAACTATACCTAGTTAGTAGTAGTTTGAACTGCTCTAGGATAAGGTTAGCATATGCTGTGAGAGACAGGCTTCTCCTCAAAAGGTAGGCACTGCATAGTTTATGAAAAGTGTTTCTAAAACAATTAAGATGTAATTTCAAGATAGCCTTAACAAATGCTTGAATTGAGTTTACTCACACGCTAACACTAGTTTAAAGTGACGTTTAGAATATTAATATCATTTTAAACTGGCTTTTAAATACGCGTGTTACTTTTTACTAGTATTTTAAAGGGTACCGACATGAATGGTTCTAAAAGGATAAAAGCTAAACTTGAAAACGAAGTCTTATATAGAATTTGATAAGAATGTGCTCTACAAATTCAGAGATACAGCTAAATGAATGTGATGCATCGTTTTGGTGTGTTCATTTAGGATAGAGATATTTAGTATCACCACAGATAACTAATATAAGTTACTATCACTGTCAAATAATGCGGACTTTTATGTCATTAAGGCCCGATTCGACCAAACTTTTATCCGAGAATAACTCCTGGTATAACTGACATTTTGACAGTTTCACGGCCGAATACTGAAACACTACTCAAATCTGTCACTCAGCTGAATGGCTCCTAAATTTAAGTATCCTTCAATTTTAAATGGTATTCTCAAACGCTACTCAACGGATTTGAAGCCGTGATCAGCTAAGCAGCTCTCAAATGTTTACATAATGGCAACATTTACCAAAAAAAGTATGTTTTCATTTACACAAATGATAACTTTACGTCTTTTATCCATTACACGCAGCATCGTTTGGTTATGTATTGTCTTTTATGGAAATATACTCAATCAACTTAACATAGAACAGTTTATTTTTAGTTTCTATTATATATAAATCTCGTTTTATCATATAAAAATAAATCTATTAAGTAGCGATCGTGGACCGAAACGTAACCACAATTGACATTTGTTGACAGAGCATCAAATTGACAAATCAACAACTCTTGGAAATGCTGCTATGCGATGTCCCCTTAATCCTCAGAAATAGGCATGTTTATGTAAAGCGATTTCATAGCAGCTATTTTGGTTGTTACTTCGTGTCTTCGTGCACTATACGATGCACAGTTGGCTGTTAGATGTGGAAGATATCACCTAGTACACGTTCATAACTTCCCGTTGCGTAGAACAGTAGGGTTATAATAAGTATATTTTGGTCCACTGGTTGTATGGCATTTGGTGAGGGGTTTCAAAGAGCTTCCAAATTATGAATCCAGAAACAACACCGTTTCTTTAGAGACGCGGAACCTCGCTCGGAGTTGCATGTCATTATAATAATATTTTTCAATAGCGTTCAGCCTTATTGCATTCCTGCGATTAGATCTAGGTATTTCCTCGAGGCTCGAAAGAAATGATAACGATGACACACATTATTTACCACTATTTTGGTCGATTTAGGTATAAGAATAGGATTTAAGATACCGCGCAAGCACTCTCAAATTTAACAGCTGCTTAAGACGATTTGACAGTTGTTTGAGTAATGCTTAGCGTTGAATGGCGTTTCAGTATGCGAAAATTCATTTAAGTGGAGTTTGAGTGCAACTTAATTTGAGAGGTGCTTAAAAATTGAGAACTGCTCAGATTTTGTTTTGAGTATGCGAAATGTAAGTTTAGGAGCTGCTTAACTATTTGAGAAGCCGTCAAATATTTAAATGGCGTTTCAGTATTCGGCCGTCAGTATGGGAAATATGTCAAAACTGACGATTTATTCTGAGATTAATATTTACTCTTGTTTGGTCCAATCCACCCTCAGAGTTTTAACCTGTGTGCTCTTAGCATTATGTAACAATATAAAAAATCGTAGAACATACACACAAGCAAATAAAAAATTGTGCTAACATGACAGTGAAATAAATATAATGTTTCCATTTCAACTGTCATTACCTACAAAGGTCAACGCAATGTTAACTGTAAATTAAAACAACATTAATAATTACTTTGTAGGGAACATAAAAATAAACTCTTTCAAGTGAACCGACTTTTGCTAATTGTGAAATACGATAACTCGTTGTGACTGGTTGAGATACCGTAACTTTATAGTTACAAGTTCAAATGCCTTTATAGTTACATAAATATGGCCACCTGCGGTTTATGAGTGCAAACTTTATGTTTGCAACGGTCGTTTTGTACTTCGATATAAAAAAAACTGTAATATGTTCACAGGAAATGAAATAACAGTCGTCTTGTTTAAATCCAATAAACATATTACATTTTTAAATCTTTGTCTTATCTGTTGCCTAACTAAACGTTTTACGAAACAATGTTCAAACTGGACTCTACTGTAATTGTTGTTATATAAATTCAATTGATCAAAAACCTCAATCAGCGTTTTACCAAATCCCTAACTACTTATAAAAGACCGTCCAAATTAGGGGAACTTGTATTTCTATTTTTGTTAGTTTTGTGGTGTGAAATCTATCTATACGCATCCTTATAGCGCGTTTCACTTATATAAATACCTACTCATTATGATTTTCTAATGCATTTTAGCTCAACTAATAGTAGAAAGTACATAGAAGGATTAAATAGACTAGATTATTTAAGATTTTCAAAATATTTTGCATGTGGTTACTTAGATTAATAAAGAACATCTATTTATCTATGTCTATCCCTCTACTAAATACCTAAATTATCTAACTACGTATATATTTATGATGATGAATGGGCGGGGCGTGTATAAGTGACAAATCACAGCTTGCCAATTTGATGGGGATGCTGGCTCGTTCTCCCCTGTCCCCAAATTGCATCCCCTTTTACTGATCGAATATGAACCTTAAAGATTACGACCTATTAAAATAATAAATTTATTGTTTGTCTATCAACACGAATTATTTAGCTGCGTGATAGAGCATGACAAAATAAGTATTTATTTAGCTAACAAATAGATTTTATTTGGATTCGATTTTGGTTTTGATCACTTAAAAAGTATTTTTTCTACCTTTTCCATTTATTTCTAAAAATCTTTGCTTTCTAATCACTAATTGCCAATTTCGTTAATTTTTTGCAGTTAATGACATTACGAATTATTTACGGTTATTATTTTGAGTCATAGGTAGTACAGTCGACTATTGATGTGCCGTTCCCGAGAACTCTCCCAATCTCTCCCAACTGAGAATATTCTCGGGAGCGTTCCCGGGAGCGTTCTCCTAAGTTCAGACTATGTTTTTTTTATTGCAAACTCGACCTTATTACAATTAAATAAGAATCCTTACGGCCGAATACTGAAANTAAACCTACTTTTGACTAAAAAATTACACAGTAGCTTCAAGGGCTAAACGTATTCCACGTTTCCACCCAAAGATAAAGCTTATGCTTATTAAATACCCTAAAAATAGATAATTTAAGCTTAATACGATAATATCTGAAGCCTAAAAATATCTTTTATCTATATACCAGCCATAATGGCGCTTAATACAAAGCGCTTAAAACTAAATTCCATGAAACGTATTATTAGTAGTTCGATGGAAACACACCCACGCTAAGTCGAAAACGTAAAATGAAATACGGTTTCAAAATGGCAGATATTTATAGCTGTGTGTTTCCATTGATATATTATCGGGTACACAATTTACGTATTTATTACCGCCATGGACAGTTTATTTTTGCACATAACCAGTTTTAATGAGGCATTTATAAAATTATTGTCACTTGATATCTTTAAGCTTGTATAAGTTGAAAAGATAGCCTACGTAGCGAAATAATAGAAACTAAAAAGTTTGACTGTTAATAAATAATTAAATTATTATTAAAAGCCACGTTTTGACCAAACTTTTATCCGAGAATAACTCCTGGTATAACTGGCACATTGAAAGTTTCAGTATGCGAAATATGTCAAAATGTCGAATAACTGACGATTTATTCTGAGATTAATATGTACTCCTGTTTGGTCGACTCCACCATAAGTAGAAAATGAGCACGCTAAAGTTAAAAATATCAGTTCAGAAAATGGGGGTA